ATTTTCCCTGATCATCTTTTTATCCTCATGTACCTGTAGAAGCCCTTCTAGTTGGGCTTGATGCTCCTGGCCAGGTTCAATTCTGGCAGGGCTTTGGCTTTCCTAACCTGACCGCTGGGACAACTTCCCTGTACTCCTCCCAGGCTTCCTGTCCCTGCTTCCACCCACTGTAGGCTGCTTTTTTTTGCCTCTCTTTGTTCGTTCATCCACGTAGGCCTGCGGCTGCTTTTACCCAACTTCCTCTTCGATGGGATGCATCGCTCCTGAGCTTGGAGGAGAAGGTCCTTGAATACTTGCCAGCTTTCTTGGGCACCTCTTCCCTCCAGGGCTTCTTCCCAAGGAACCTTCTCAATCAACTGAACCTCAATCAAGGAACCTTCTCAATCAGCCTTGAAGAGGCTGAACTCTTCCCTCCTGATGTCCTTGGCAGCGAGCTTACTGCGCACCCTCCTCACCTCCGTAAGGATCTCAAACCCCACCATTTCATGGGCGCTGCAGCCAAGGCTGCCCTTGAGCTTCACATTCCCCACCCGCCCTTCCCTGTGGTGAGGTCAAGGTCCAGCATGGCACCCCTCCTCATCAGCTCCTCTATCACTTGCTAAGGAAGTTGTCATCGAGGCATTCCATGAATCTCCTGGCTTGCTTGTGCCCTGCTGTGTTGTCCCTCCAACAGGTATCGGGGTGGTTGAAGTCCCCCATGAGGCCCAGCGTTTGTGAATGTGAGGCTGTTGCTATCTGCTTGTTGAGGGCCTCATCCATTCGTTCATCCTGGCCAGGTGGCCTGTAGCAAACTCCCACTACTGTGAGAGTAGTGCCCTCTCCCTGTCCTCCCTTTAATCCTGACCCATAAGCTCTTGGTCAGGTCCTCATCCATCCCCAGGTGGAGTTCCACACACTCCAGCTGGTCTCTGACATAGAGCGTAACCCCCACCACCACGTCTCTCCTGCCTGTTGTTCCTGAAGAGCCTGTATCCTTCCATTCTGACGCTCCAGTCGTAGGGGCCATCCCACCACATCTCCAAGATGCCAATGAGGTCATAGCCCCTCACTTGTGTGCATGCCTCTAGCTCCTCTTGTTTGTTTCTCATGCTCTGTGCGTTGCATAGAGGCAGTTACTTACACTGCATTCTGTGCTAAACATCACAGAATGGAGAGATGCTCGAATAATAACACGAGTTCAGGACCAGAGAAATTTGAACATAAGATGCAAGAAGTCGGTAGTCATTCTTCAGTAACAGTTAGGAAGGGTGAGGGGGGAGAATGTGTGGGTTTTTTCTTTATCCTCTTTTTTTCATATCTGCTAGTAAAAAAAAAGATTGAATCTATTCTCAAGCAGAATATTTTGTTTTGCACTGAAGCAGCATTTTTATGTAAAAGTAAAAAAAAAGAAATATCAGCTTCAAAACTGCAGATACATGCTGCTGCTTGTCACTCGCTATAGGATTGCTCATGGTAATTGCTATCAGAAATATGGAAGTAAGTCTGGGATCGTGATTGATTGAATGCTGCTTTTTTGAAAAGAGATAGTGAAAGTGATGCAATTCAGACTTTTTTGAGAACTTGAACTCTTGTGAGACCGAGCTGTTGAGATCAGAGTGAATTCTGTTAACAAAGATGTGTTAGTTTTTATAAGATTTTCCCAATTCTTTCATGAGCAAAAAATTTGTGATTTTTTTTTTTTTTAATCTTTCAGATGTAAAATATAATTTGGGATTTGGGGATTTTTGGTAACTGTTATTTAGTGTATCCTTCTGCATGTCACTCATTCTGTTTCCCAATTTTTTGAAATATGGAGAGCTGTGTCAAGTAAATAATTCAATTGGGAATTTTGGTATCCTCCTGTTTGTAAAGATTTATTCCTGGTAAAATTCACTGTGAATCTTGCCTGAACAGTTTGGAAGTTAAAAGTCCAAATCACTTCCCATTTAACCCGTTCTTTCCTCTTACCTCTAGATATGGACTCAGCAGGATCGACAATGCATCCTCGATACTTTAGCGCAGTTATTACTGGATAAAGAATGTACCCTATTGATTGGCCGTCAAGTTCGGCCAATCTTGTTGGATTTGTTGGAAAGAAATGCAGAAGCCATTAAAGCTGGCGGGCAAATCAACCATGATCGGCACGAAAGGCTGTGCGTAGCAATGAGCAAGCTGGTTGCTGACCATCCTGATGTTTTGCCGTGAGTAATGTAGTTAGTGTCTCTCTGTGCATTGTTTGAATTTAGGGATTACGTGCTTGTCAGTATTTGCTGATGGTGAGAGGTGGCGTTACAGTTTGGGTGGTCTCCTGCAGTACTAAATGTGTTTTGGATTGAAAGAATGATTTAGAAAACATGAGTCTTAAACACAGCTTATTTAAATTAAATTCTGTTGTAAAATCTAACGTGATTTTCATCTAAATGGTCGAAAGAAAAGCAAAATGGCTGTCATGAAAATTACTCACAACCAAGATGTCTGCATTTAAGATTAGAACTGCAGGCCCATAGAATACAAAGTTATGTAAGTAGGACTCAGTATTACGTTTTCAGGAAAGAAGAGCAATCAAAGAGGTTTCACCAAATGCAGGACTGTTTCTCCTTGATAGTTAAGTAATGATTTCTAATAAGGTAAAGGATCTGTTGTCAGCTGATTGCTGAAGTGCTTGTCTTTCCTAAGTGTGCACTAAGTTAAATATAGGCCTTAGTTCTCAGTATACTGTTAATTACTGTCTCAGGACCTCTGTCCTGATGTTTTTATTAGTGGCTATTTTCCTTTCCTTTGGCTTAGATGTGTGTTCCATCTTTCTCTCTTTCATCTAAAGATTTGCTTTGAGATATTTTAAGAATACATCACCAGTTTTCCAGAGGCTTTTCCTGGAGAGCTCGGACACAAACACAGTCAGATACGGGCGCAGACGAATGAAGTTACGGGACCTCATGGAGGCAGCCTATAGATTTTTACAAAAGGAGCAATCAGTTTTCCGGGAGTTATGGGACTGGAGTGTGTGTATTCCGCTCCTAAGGAGTCATGACACTTTAGTCCGTTGGTAAGTTAAACACCCCAGATTTTCTCCACTGAAAAGATGTATCTATATCTTGAATTGTAATTAACAATGGCCACGTGCAAGTAGAAAAGAATCTTCAAATAATACCGGAAAAATTTGTACTGACGGGATCTGTACCTATGCTTTGTAGCTCACCTTTTGAAGTGATCTATCACGGAGTGCAATTCAGGCTAGCTCTTAGTCATGCTTAAAGCTATGATCTGGTGAATCTTTTCAAATAACTTCAGTTTACCCAAGAAGTTCTTCCTGGAGAGGGTGGGGAGGCACTGGAACAGGTTTCCCAGAGAAGCTGTGGTTGCCCCATCCCTGGAAGTGTTCAAGGCCAGGCTGGATGAGGCTTTGAGCAACCTGGTCTAGTGGAAGGTGTCCCTGCCCATGGCAGGGAGGTTGGAACTAGATGGTCTTTAAGGTCTCTTCCAACCCAAACCATTCCGTGGTTCTGTGATTCTATGAGAGATGGTGAATTCATCGCTTCACCTCTGCTGGTGAGCCTGTTGGTGTGTTGCATGTATTCCAGCATGTTAGCCTAGAAAAAAGTAGAGATGAATCTGCTTTCACTCCAACTTACAGTACAATGATCTATTATACTATTCTGCATTGATAATGCTATTAATGAGTTGGATTTTTTCTTATTGCTTGTGTATAGACATCTCAGTCACTGTAAAGCTTGGCTTATTTAAGCTATGCTTCCGAATTGTCCTTGTTGCAGGTTTTGCATGTGATTTTGGTCAGATGTTTCATGTTATGTGTCTGTCTGTAGAGCTTCAACATAGTCACATGATCTACCTTATTTATGTGAGTAGTAGTATTGATAGTGCCTTTTATTTGGGAAAATGTCTTTCATTTAAAAAGACTATTAAAGATAAATTCAGAATTACATTAGTAACACGTGGTTTTAAAATAAGGTGTATAATTTAAGAAAGGCAGGAACAAGAGTGTTGTCAAATCTATCAGCTGTTTATGAAGCTCTTCAGGATGGCGTACGCTTGAATAGTCTTAGGAAAAGAAATAGAATTTCTAATTCATTGACTGGAATTGGTTTCCCTGCTCTTCAGCTAATAATCTTAAGTAAGTGAATGAGCTGACTTTTAAATTTTCAATTTTCTCCTGAACCAGTCGTCTTCTGACAACCTTTTTTTTTTTCCCCCCTCCACCCTTGCCAAGCTCATTGACAGTTTTGTTATTGGAAGGTAAAAACAGTGGTATAATAAATGAGAAGTGTTCTATGATTTGTATTAAATGTCCTTTTGTTGCAAGACAGCTTTATGTAGTAATGAAGTCAATACTTGGGAGTTGTTGGCTTTTTTTGGCATTGAGTCTCAAATTCATCGTATTAGAGTGTTTTTAGAAATAGCATGAAATATAAAGCAGTTTTGAAAGGGAAATGGTAGGAGAAGAAGAAAAAAATCAGGCAGAGAGAACCTGATTTTCATTGTTTCATGTTTACCTTTGTTTGGGAAAGTGCTGCTCTTTACTGTCTTTTTAGGTGACCATTCAGGCCTTCAGAGAAAGGTTACCTAGTTGGTGTATGATAAATTATGCCATGACAGAATTGCTTTTCTCAGTTCTGAGGTATTTCTCTAATCGTAAAGAATGTGAAACATAGCACTACAGTAATTTATATGGAGAAAACTTTCTGCGTGTTTTTTCAAACTTGGTATTTTGGTTTAAAATTGACAGTTGTCAAACTAAACTTCTTAAGACTAAGTTTTGACATGTTTTGTTCTAAATATAATTTAGGTATACTTCAAACTGTCTTGCTCTGGTTACATGCATGAATGATGAGCATAAATTATCATTCCTCAAGAAGATATTCAGTCCTGAGGAGCTGATACATTTCAGACTAAAGTAAGAACTTTTAAAATCTTGAACACTATTTAGTTTTGTTGATGGCCTTCAGTTAAATTAATAAACATGGATTTCACAGACTGCTGGAAGAATCTCAGCTGCAGAACGTGGAACAAGCTCTTGTTTTGGCCAATCCAGACTCCTTGTTTTGGCAAAAAGAGAACGAGCTGCAGTGTACGCAAGGGCATATTGTGTCGGGTGACCTCTCTGCAAACGTCGTAGCTGTATGTGGTATCGTGCTGCCTAGACTACAGCTTGTTTCTGAGGAGCAGGTATGGAACCCAAGGTTAAGTCTCTACCTAAATGTGGTGAACTGACTTTATTTCCTGCCTAAATGATATTGAGATACTGTGGGTAATGTGTGTATCTTAAGCTTTCCTGACGTGTGCTGTAGGCTACTGTTGCATAATACAGGCACTGCAAAGAAGCTCTGCAGTGGAATGAAGCAGTGAAGGTGTAATAATGCTGTTCACTATATCTTCATGTAGCAGTTCTTATGAACATGTCACAAAAGAATATTCAGCCTTCCACAGGATCTCCAGTCCAAGTTGGGGTGATATTCCATAGCTGACTAAAGCTGGGTTTTGGCACAGCTGCTTTTACTTGCATGAAGTCCGTTTTTGTACTGTACAGACATCTCAAACAGCCTTTCTGCAAATGTATTCTTAGTTCTTCCCTTAAAACAAAAGAAAACAGGGCTGCTACTTACTCTTGAAGAATGTAGAAAAAGAGGAAAGGAAGTGAGAACTTTTTCCACTTGAGTGAAGTGTACGGCAAAATGTAAGCGTAAGGCCTTAGTTTTAGGAAGTCTTACCAAACACACAACCACTTTTGAGCAAACAGTATTTAACCTTTTTTCTCCTAAGACACTGTTCATCTTGAACTGTTCAGGTGGTTCTTTGTAGCTGCAGGCAGTATTCTTGACTTTTTCTCGTTTAGGTTGAATTTCAGCTCTTAGCTGAGTATTTCTATTTAATTTTGTAACACTGATCTACAGGTGAAGGAGAAAGAAATTAGTGAAGACTACCAGTGTCCAGAATTTCTTGAGTAACAGAAACAAAGAAAAAGAGGAATTTCCTCCCAGGTTCTTTCTCCCACCACCAATTTCTGTAGTTGAATTTGCTGTAGTCTAGCTTTTTTTACAGGATTGAGGGTGTGGTTTGAAATTTGTTGCAGCAAGGGGAAACTGTAGAGCTGTTTAAGGATTCTTACCTACATGCCAGTATCACTACTGCTGCAGCTGTGCTGAAGCTAGGCCGTGCTATAAACTGCATTGCTGAAAGGATACTCTTAGTCCATGAGGGAGGAGAGAACTTGCCAAAAAGGCATGCTTTTGTTTTTGTAGTAGCCGCAGGTATTTCACTGATCTGGTTTGCAGTGTAGTTCCAGTTACACTGGGGTGGTTGTAGTTACAGCTGAGGAGGTCTGATGTGAGGTAGGAGCAAACTGAAGGAAAGCAGGTACTTTTAAAAACTACCATTGTTACTAGAGGAGAACGTGAAACTGTACCTGAAAAGAAGATCACACTTAAATACACAACACTTGTTTCAGTGCAGTATGTACTCTGATTTCTGTTCTCTGTGCCTTTTGTCAGGAAGGTGCTATTTTTTGTGCCATATACTGATATACCAGTAACTGTAGGAGAGCCAAAATGCTTGGAGAGTATCTGTAGCTTTGATTAATTGCCATTCAGTAACCAACATTTGTTGTGTTTTGAATAAAATAAAAATGTTACTGAATTTACCTCTTTTTTTCATGCACTGAGTTTAACGATACTGTGGCCTTTGCAGAACGAAGAAAATACAACAGTTAATATTCATGCTTGCATCATCTGAATCTAACTGCTGTTTGATTTGTCCTGTGATTTGGATCCATTCTGATGACTTAATTTCACTTTTATTGGAAATTGTATTTGATTGACATGTGTTATGATTGAGTAGTTACTATGCCTGTACTGACAACTTAGTGTGAACTCCCTTTGGGAACAAGTTGTACGTACACTTTATGAAGTGTTTCACCTATAATAGGCTTTTGATGAAATCTATTTTAATATTTGTCATTAAACACAGCAGTAGAATCCTTTATTTTACTTGATATGTGTTGACAGATCTTCAGGACAAAATTTTCTAGTTGTCAGACTTGCTTTCCTAATTGTTCTGTGTTGTACAACCTGTAAAAACAGTAACAACTTCAGTGTAGTAACTCAGGTTCTGTGTTTGAACAGGAAAATAACAGCAGCAGTTTTGTTTTGGTTGAATCTGCCTTCACAAATCTTCAAAACCTTGCTATGGCTGTAGCATATCAGAGCCCTGTTTTATTAGAAGGACCAATAGGATGTGGCAAAACGTCTTTAATTGAATATTTAGCAGCTGTTACAGGAAGAGCAAAGCCTCCTCATATTTTGAAAGTCCAGCTTGGGGATCAAACTGATAGTAAGGTAACAAAGTTGCTTTATGGTTGGATGATCAGATGTAACTTGTAGCATGGACTTAATTTGCTAATAAGATAATGTTTAATGTTTTACCCAAAGACCCCACAACCCCCAACTCTGTAGTATTGGTCTTACTATTGATGAGAATAAATAAATGTGAAGAAAATTCACAACCGAAGCAGCTTTGGTAGGTTTTAAATTCTCTGCATAATTGTGCTGTATCTATTTCATTCAAATTATGTTTTGTCAGGGTTTTTCTGTGTACAAGAACCCTATTGGGTTTTTTTTAATTATTAAAAAATAGTGGTTTGTATTAGAAAAAATTCTTTTAGAATGACTCAGCATGGTGCTGAAGGCACTTGTATTTCAGTTTAAATGAGCTAAGGTCAGTTTAATCTGACCCCATTTTTTTGCACTATAGGTGAGATGAAGTAAGGTCCTGTGATGTTGAGGACACTTGCACTTACGTAATAGTGATCTAGCTCTACCTCTGGAGCTAAAACCAGAGGTGAAGATAACTTTACATTCCTCAGGGTAAAACCCAGCTAAAATCAGCACACATACGACTTTTGAGCTTGAATTGATTCAGGTAGCTTGGCTCAATTTACATTTATTTTTCCAAGGGGGTTGGTATCTACCAGCAGTGCTATCTGAAGGTTTTTTTATTAGCATGCATAGGCACCTTATTTACTTGTATACAGCAGCCGATTTTGCCATCTCACGACTGTTTTCCACATGAGATCTTTTAAGACCAACATGTTAATAAAGATTGATAAAGTTCAAGGTACAAAATATGTGGTAATGAAACCATAAGCTTAATTATTTAAAGAATGATTAAATGTGGATGTTAAAACTTTGCAGAGAAGCAACACTCCAGAGATAGAAACCACTGGTTCTGTATCTTTGACTAACTTGCTTTACAATTCCTATCTTAGTCACAGACTTCTAAAAAATGTACATTGACGTACAGTGCAACCCTAGGCAGTTTTGTGTGTTATACTGTTGATTGTTTGCTAATTATAGTGGCACAGCTCTGTAAATTCATTTCCAATTACCTGTTTGATTTTAATTACTATGTTTCAGTTAGATTATCATAAATGTGGAGGGCTGAAACTCCTTTAATTAAAAAAAAGTGTACTGTTGGGCATAGATTATCAGATGGATTGTTTAGTAATGTGGAGGCTAAGTGTTACTTACGTACCAACTTGTGTCATTTCTGGTAAGGGATGTAATGAACAGGTCCCTAATTGACCGATGGTTTCCATTATAGACGCTGCTTGGTATGTATCGTTGTACAGACGTACCAGGGGAGTTTGTATGGCAACCTGGAACCTTGACACAAGCTGTTACCAAAGGTCACTGGATACTTCTGGAGGATATTGATTATGCCCCTCTCGATGTGGTAAGTAGGTTGATGCTTGCTGTAAGGTCAGGCCCATACTAGCAATTTTTGGAGTCTAATCGCCATGAGTTCTGCAGCAGCTTGCTGAAAATACTGCCCCTTTGAAAGGGGTTAGAAAGAATTAACCTGTCTTGTCTTTGTTCACGTAGTAGCACACCACAGTAGTTTCTGTCGTTGTTTTAAAGTAGTCAGGACACTGCCACCGATGCCAAATTTCACTCAAGATTTGAATTGACACTGATAATAAGCTGCGTGTCTTTTAAATCATGTTTTAATATTTGAAAGCAAATGTGGCCCCGAACGCTACAGAATATCTTCATGGTATTAGAGTGGTGCTGTTAATAATATTTTTAGTGGTTTGGTGTGTGGGTTTTTGTTCTGTTTGTGTGTTGGTTTTTTTTTTTTTCTTTCTTACACGCTTCTTAGCTCTGTCTTGGATATGAAAAAACATGTTGTTAAATTAAGCAGTATAGGTTTTTAATAGATTTCCTGTTTTCAGCTCCAGATGATGAGTTAGACTGTCATCCCTCCCTTTTGAAGTGATGGCTGCTAAAGCATGTCTTCTGCAAGAACGATGTCATAGAGATGTTTTGCTGTATAGCCCTGCTGGACATTCTGCAGATAGTTGTTTTCTTTCCTATCTGTTCTATAAAGCATTCTTTGTGTGACTAAATAACACAAAAGCTTTTTTAATTGGGTTCTAGGCTTCTGAAATACAGGGAATTTATAAGACAGACAAGAAATACTGCTTGTATATATACTAGACAGTTTTTCACTGCCAAAGGGTCACGCACTTATTTGCTTCTGTGGACTCAGCTCGTTGCACTCATCAAAAGCGTGCTCTGAGTGGTGTCCTGCATTCATCTCTCCCTTTCTTCAAGTCCTCCCTGCAGGCACCCTGTCTCTTCTCCATATCAAAGTCTCCATGCTTGCCTCCCTCTATGCTGAGAGATCATTGTGGTCCTACCTCCCTTTTTTCTTCCAATATGATTACTGTCCTTCTGCATGGAAAGATAGTCTTTACACAGATACCAAATTCTCCTGGGAGTAGCACTGAAAAACGTTGATATTTGAGATCCTGGAGGTGCAGGTTGGGAGAAACGCTCGCAGTCCAATAACTTCGGCTCAGGCAGAATCTCGGAGAAGCAGCATTTTGTTTGCAATTGCAATGGGGGGCGGTCCCCTCCCCTCGCAGAAGAGAGAGAGAGTGAGCAAGCGTGTGCTTAATAGCAACATACTACATGTTAAATACCCTAATTCCCAACACATTCGGCCCCCTCCCCTCTTCCCTCATTGGTTGAGTACTCCAGGTTCACAGCCTACCTGACATGTGTTTCTATACTTCTGTACAACTTCTAAAATTTTTTAAGGAAAATACGGTAGCACTTTGGTATGTTTTTGTTACATCTTATTCTGCAATTCTTTATTGTTGTTCCCAGCCTGTTACTTCCAACGTTCTCATTTTACTGAGGTGGCGATATTTCTCTTTTTTTTTATTTGACCTTGCCAATTAGCTCTTTCTGAGGAACAGTTCATACAAACATATGATAAAACTGAGGCCTAGGACCCATGTGCAGACACACGAAAGGTTAGCTTTGAAGACTGGAATTTTCCATCTGCAAAAACACAAAACGTTAGCTTCTCACAAGGTCATCTTTGTTCAGGCAGACAAAGAGAATAAGGCTTCTAACAGAAAAGTGTCTAACTCTTTTGACAATTCAGAAGGAATAGTTTTGATTTGGACCTGCAGTGCAAAGACTGCCATTTTTGTTCTCTTATCATTAAGAGAGAAAAGAAAATAGGTAAAGAGGAGAAAAAAAATAGGGAAACATTACATCTGTGACTTCTACTAGTGATGATAATTACCGGGGTCTCTGCGATTCCTGTTAGCATCACTTGGAAACACTATATGCAGGAATGGCAGTTGCTGCCAGTGTAGTAGGGTTTGGTGGAAGTGCTCTAGCATCTCAAGTGTGAAATGAGTGGATGGATATGCTGTCTGTTACAGTTTCATCAAAAAAAAATATTGTTTTATAAATTTTCTTCTCCAGATCTCCGTGCTGATTCCTCTTTTGGAAAAAAGAGAGTTGCTGATTCCTGGTCGTGGTGACTGTTTAAAAGTGGCATCAGGATTCCAGTTTTTTGCGACCAGGAGGTAGGATTGTGAAGTTAAATGAGGTTTAGAGTGTGGGTGGCCTATTTTTAAGTCTAAGACAAGAAGTGCAAGATACTTGCACAGGAGTATTTTGGCAGTTTCCAATTAACAGCCAGTTGAAGCCATAGAAGTTGTGAAAGGTATTTTTTAAGTTTAGAGCAGCGTTATGTTACTACTGGGTGAATCCAGTCTTGGTGTAGAAAGGACTCTTCAGCAGGGCTGAAGAAATGAAACTTGCCAGTGGGAACCCTACAAAACCAACCTCTCACCAAAACAAAATTCCTCTCAGCAGTTGCTCTGTGAAGAAGGTCTATGATTGATATTCACAAGGTGTCTTGACTTGCTAGTTTTAACAGCACCTGTGTAAAATATTTATTGTTTTGCTGATCTTGGGGTAGTTTGTATTCTGACTACTGAATGATTATCTTTCTGGGTTTTGTTTTTTTTCATTTTACCTCCCTGAGCAGTAGTATACATGTGTTCCCTGGAAGATATTTAAGAGTTTCATGAATAATTTTAACTAAACCCTACATTTACAATAAGTTAAAGTTGTTCTATTTGGGAATCAAGAAAAAAGAAATAGAAGGGAAACTTTTTAAAAGAATACCTGGTTTGTTAAAGTCTTGTCTCAGTAGAGAGGTTCGTAATGTTTTCTATCCAGAAAAAGATTTAACGTACTCTCCCTGACGGTTTCACTGTAGTAATGGCTCATGTGTCAAAATGTCATCTTGTCTATGAAGACATAATATTGTATCAAGATTAAGGATTAGGATATCTAGAAAGAGAATGTTTACATGGCTTTCAAATGTTTTGTAGTTTACTTCAAAGCTTTTGACATTTTTTTTTCCTTTTGTTTTCTATAAATTTGTATTTTTATTTGATTTATCCAGTTTTTTTTTTTTTTCTGGAATTGTGTCTGTTGGATTTAACTCTTTTTAGGTTGCCTTATCTGGTAAGATTTTTTTTCTTTTGGTATACTTGGTCAACAGTTTGTATAGTGGCAAATTCTAGTTTCCAGTGGGCTAGTCAGAGCACATTCAGAAGCTGATGTGCCTCCCAGCTGTGGACTGTTATATATAATAAAAAAATAAGCCAAGAACAAAAGAACCCAAACCACAATATCTAATGCTTTGCCTGTGCAAGTCTGCTTCCACAGTGGGTATGACACAGAGCTGCTTGGTCATTTGTGCAGTAAGAAGAAAATGTACGGAACAAAATACATGATGAAGGACTGTGAGCCTGAAGAATGAGGAAAGACTGTGGAGGGGACAGGGACGGGAGATGTTTTTCCTGCATCTCTGCAATAGAGCACAGGTTCTTTAGGATCTGTGGAAGATATTTTCAAGGCCACTTCTGTTAGGCTTCTCTCTTTACACAGGATTCTGTACGTTGCTTCTGGTAGACTTACTAACTTAAGGTCAGTCACCTTCCTGCAAGTATTTCTAAGGAGATTTTGCACTACAGGTGGAAAACACTGTGATAGAAGAACAGATAATTTGAAAAGCAGAGATAGGCAAAGTATGGTACGTGATGGTACAGTGATGGACAGTGGATGATCTAGGCATGCACATAACGCTATAGCAGCAGTGTGTGATGTGTTACTTGATGCCCAGGAATGCACTGAAAACATTGAATTCTTCAGCAAGACGCAATGTGCTGTTTTGATTTTAGGATATTCAGTTGTGGTGGAGGTTGGTACAGACAGCAAAGTGGTCACGCTGCTCTTCTGGACAAGTATTGGACCAAGATTCATCTGGATAACATGAGTAAAGGAGAACTCAAGGAGGTAGAGTGTGTGTTGCTCTATTTTGGCATGTGAATGATTGTTTCGCTTAAGGGTAATAAATGTTTTTCAGCAATAAATTTCAGCCTTCTTTTTATCTTCAAGTTCCACAGTAAACCTTTATCACTTCAGATCTATCTTCCCCGTTTTGAAGTAGATGGACACACAGTTTGTTAAGAAAATTCGAAGTGAATTGGACAAAGATTTCGAGAATTTGCCTTGTCAAATATAGTTCTGTTTTGAATAGGTCTAAGAATCAAATTACTTTGCCATTTTGTAGCCCACAGAGTTGTAAAAACAGAGAGAGAAAAAAGAAATAGAGCTTATTCTAATCCTGATTTTTAAGCTTTCAGATGAAAAGGAGTTGGACAGTTATCAATTACGAATGACATTCTATTGACATCTTCTGTTAGCCTCTCTAGGGGAAAGCTTGCTTTGTGTAGTCCTTCAAAAAATTAAAGGACTTCAATAAAAATAGAACACTCTAGAGATTCTCTTTGTGATACAGAGCTCAGAATAGGATCTGATTTTAAGATCCTTGCCTAAGGGAAAAGGAGGTGAATAATCTCTAGTGGAAGAGCTGAGGAGAAAGTTCTGAATTTTCTAGAATGAAGAAGACAGGTCTTCATTCGTCCCTTGGGACTCATTCAGCAGCCAGCAGGGTTATGAGGGACCTTAAATATCTGTGTGGTTTTCCATTTTGACATTTATCAGCTAATTGTTAGGAATGGGATGAGGCCAGCTTTTATTTTGTACTGGTAGATTCTGTTGGTGGGGAAGCAGGTGGCTGCACAGGGAGGCTCTGCAGACACTTGGCTGGGGATACACATGCTTGTGTGTTGTTGCTGCTTCTACCACAGAGATCCACACAGGCAGGAATTCTAGGAAGCTCACAGTTGCAGTATTAAAAGAGGCTATCTGGCTGAACTGATGTCAAAGGTGACTTCCAGAAAGGACCAATATTCAAGTGAAGCTTGGTTGTTAAAATCTTAAGGGAAAAGGAAGTTTTGGTGCTAAATGTGTCACTTACCACTAGGTTTTTTCTGTTCTTTTTTGTAACTTTGTAGCTCAAGTCACAAAAATGCATAAATCAAACACTGTGTAGGATTCTGTAGTGGTAGAAGAGACAGTGGTAGAAAACACCCACTTGCTTGTCTTGAAAATAGACTTGTGTTCTTATGGTTTTAAAAGTCAGTTCGGCAAGGTAGAACCAGTGTTCCTGACCTATATCTGTGAAAAGCTTCTTTTGGGAAGCAATGATTTTGGTCGGCAAGCTTTAGTGAACTGAGCTGACAGGAAATTACAGAAGAAAACTTAGGCCCTTAATGTATCTTTGTCAGCAGAGTGAATGGACAACTTGAATGCTCAAAAAATTCAGTCATAAAAAGGAGAGGAGGTAAACTCTTTTGTTATCAGTTTTAAAATTGTATGATCATGATTTGAGTTTAGATAGGGTTGAATATACTTTTGTTCTTCCGGTTGGTATTTGTGCAAACGTATTAAATGAATTGGAGTAGAGTTGGCAAAATTCACTTTTGGCATCCAAATCGATTAATGAAAGTCACAATTACTTTGTTTTCTTCAGATGAGAGATTGCAGGAGAGCAGTTTTGTGCACCGTGCTAGCTTGAGTACCTCTTGAGGTCTATCCTCTTAATACTGGGGGGGAGGCTGGTGGTTTCCACCTGATGTTAAAGAATTCTTTTTGTTTCTTTGTGGGTGTGGTGGGTTTTTTTCTTTTTTCTCAGGTTCTTCAAAGGAGATACCCCAACCTTGCTGTTGTAGCTGATCACTTGCTAGACATTTACATTCACCTTACGGGAGACAAGTATCAGGCATCAGAAAATGGTGCTTCTGGCTCTGGATATGTACAAGAAGATACATCAGAATCAAGATCAGAATATAAGAAACCAAATTTGGAAGGACGAGAGCTATCTCTAAGGTTGTCTCTTTTTATATGTTTATTAGGAGAATAAGTGGGTTTCTCTTTTTTTTTTTTAAACAGATATTGATAAAAGTTTGAAAAATTAAACAGTGATTTCATAAAAACTGGAAAAATCAATTTTTAATTTTAAAATAATAGTTAATGTGTCTTTTAAAAAAATCTCAATCTGAATTTTTACGACTGCCTATACTTTTTTTTCTTTTTTTGAAGGAAAAAGTGTAGGTTTTGTCATATGTGGTGCTGAGAGTTGATCTCATGCCATATGGATTACTTCTCAGTTCGTGTTAACACAAAATATCAGTTCTACTAGCAAAGAACTTGGCTGAAATGTGCTCTGTAATGTTCTCACAATAGCTTGTAGATAACCTTCTCAGCAATTGTATATATTCACTTCTTTAGATAACTTCATGTAGACACAGCATTTGAACTTACAAATAACTGAAAATAACCAGAACTGTAGTGTGCTATTAATTTCAGGATTTTTATGAAGAAATGCATCTTGATGTTCAATTGCTTCTTCCTCTATGCTCATACCCAATTTTACTCATGCAATTTCTGTAACCATTAGTGTTTTGTGAAATAGTAAATACTAGGTGTGGGTAGTACCTAATATTTTTGTGAAGCATACGAATGTCACTCATTTTAAAACAGCAGTTGTTTTCCTAGGATCAGGTGTTTCCTTTTCTTGCCTTTCAGTAAATTTTGTTGTTGAGAAGGTATCATGGTCTTAAAGCAATAGGTTGTTACACCTTTCTGGACGGAAAGCTTGCTGTTTTTCACTTTTTCAGTTTCATAATTCCTTTATGGTTTAATGGAGTTTGTATTACCTGTTTCCAACCAATGCATCTGAAAGCAACGATGTTGGGGTTTGAGCTCAGCCACTCTTTAGAAGTAGCATCCTATTTGTATGTCTCTTCCTGTCTACAACTTACACGACAACTGAATGTGCAATTCCCTGAAGGTGACATAGTGACCTGAGCTGAACATGAAGTAAGATGCTGTGCATTTTGGCTTGAGTCTACCAAATCTTTTCCATTTTCTTTTTAGAGACTTACTGAACTGGTGCAGCAGGATTGCTTACAACTTTGACAGTAATTCTTCAACCACGGCAATGAATATTTTTCAGGAGGTGCGGTAAGACTTGATCTGGAATTTGCTTGCCCAAATTCTAGCATTGTCTCACAAATCTTAAAACTAAATGCAAATTCCCATCTCGCATTCCCAGACAGAGCATTTTATCTGGAGCAATTGGACCTTAGTTGGAACATTTGTGATCAGTCTATCGGCGGCTTTCCTTGCTGCAAACGATTTTACTAGTAGTAATGTGCTGAAAGCCAATCCAGACTTACTGCTGTCATGTAAACAGCATGCTACAACATAATTTTAACTGATATGAGCTGGGATTGCATATGACTGAGAGTAAAAGTTTTAAAATATTTTCTTTTTCTTATAGTACATGGCTTCTCTTCTACTTTCCTATGCATCAATTTATGTTCCAGGTTTGGAATTTTTCAGGTGTGCGTCAGTGAGTTTTAAGATGTGAGATCTTGCAACGTTCCTTCCTTCTCCATTTTGGTTTACTCACCTAAAAATAGCTTGTGTGACTGGATATTGAAAAGTTTTTACTTTCAGTAGAAACTGACTGCATTACAGAGTTTAGAAGTTCTTATTACATCCTCTTGAACGTCGTTGTTTGACTTGATTGGTGGACAGTGGCATAATTTTATTTACCATGGCTGGATTGGATTCCGGCTCATGTTAATTGAGATCATATCTTATAAAAGCTGTACTGAAGAAGTTGTGTTGTTTTCCCCTTGACAGGCATTAGACTGTTTCACAGCTATGCTGTCCAACCAAGGGAGCAGACAGAAAATGGCAAAACTTATTGGAAGTAAACTAAATATTTCCAAGAAAAAGGTATGTTGAGCTATAATTAACATGACATTTATTGGCAATATCCTGTAACATGAAATTTTTATAGTAATTAATCTAAATGTGTTCTGCTGTTTTTTCTGAAGTTATGCCCATCTCTCTCCCCCAAACACATATTTCGTACTATTCATACTCTGTATACTCCTGTACTTTGCTGGGATCTGAGTTTTTCTCCTGTTTTATTTTAGCTGCATTTTTTTTTCCTTCTGAAAGTGCCAGGGAACCTGTTTCAGAGCAGATTGCAAATGGCCTCCTCATGCCAAAGAAGGATCACACAGCTGGAAGGGCACAGTTGCCTAAGCACACAGTACTGCTAGATACAAAGAGTAGTAGAGAATGTGTTTTCTTTGGTGCCTACCGTGAACTTTAATCACTTAAATAAAGAGACCAGAGAGAAACATGATATTCCTTACTACTTGTTCTGTAATCGATTCCAAAGCCAAGTACCTCTCTAGCTTCCTTACTACTTGTTCTGTAATCATTGATTCCAAAGCCAAGTACCTCTCTAGAGGCTAGTACCTCTCTGTATATTAATAGCGTGTGATAAAGGTGGCCGAGTTTATAACTTTGTCAGCTATTTTGGACTACAGAAGTTTGATTGCAAAGAAAATTCCCCCTTTATTACTTTAAGATGGAAAAACTTGCCGTCTGGGTGGACAGATGGATCCCAGAAGCGTCTGTGGATTTTTCTTTGTCCTTCTTCCTTTGCATTATTTCAGTACAGGATTGTATTAACCTCTGCCAGTTGCAAAATATCCTTGTTTACAGAGGTATTCACCAGTACTTTTTTGTGGTGGTGGTTGTTTGTTTATTATTAGTTAAAATAACTATCCCCAGGTTCAAGTTTATGTAGGTGAACTACCGTGGAAGTAGATAAGGTAGAGATATAATGGCATAGACCAAGTTATTAAACGGACAGACGTTGTATAGACGTTGTAAACCTCACAAAATACAAAATCTTACAGTGAAAAATTAGCTTACTTCAAAGTAATACTACAGACGTTTGTACAAACAGTAACACTTCTGAGGTCCTTCACTATTTTAGGTGATGAGTATGTAAACCTCACAAAATACAAAATCTTACAGTGAAAAATTAGCTTACTTCGAAGTAATACTGGTAGCATAGCATGGGTGTTCAGTGTGATGTTGTAGGCAACATTGGTATTGGAGATGTTGATATTTTCTTTACAGGTGGAGTTCTTTTGTGAACTCTATAAACCAGAAATCATAATACGGGAGCAAGAAGTCTCTGTTGGAAGAGTGCATCTTACAAAGAAACAAACCCAGGCTCTCACTGTACAAAGGTAGAGTATCTTGTAGTTTTCATGTGAATTGAAATATTCTGTGGAGGAATAGAAGAAATAGGAAGTCACGGGATTAAAACAATGCAAATTGGATATTCTCACGTTAATAGAAGGAATGTGATCAGTTCTTTCTCTTATGATCTGAGTTTTACCTTGTGTATCTTTAAGGATGTCTGCAACATGCTTCTGGCAGCCAAAGCATGGAGATTTTCAGCTTCTTTTTTACTAGAGTTTCTTCAAAGCAATGTGGATCCACAGCTGCTGTTATAAGATCTTGATGAATCTGTCTTTGTAAGGGGAGATTTTTGCAGTATGCGGCACTAACTCCACTGGCCAGGAAGTTCTTTGGGAACCCTGAGTTTCTAGGTTGTATCTTGAGGAAAATAAGTGTCCTACAAGGGTGTCTTGAAACTGATTTTTCCCAAACCTATATTTATAATTAAAAAAAAAATCCTAAATTCACCCAGTCCTCTCAAAAATAATAAAGGTAAAATTGAAATGTTCTCCTTGATAAATCTTGGTTTTGAGTTGCTTACTGTATTTTTTTTTCAGAGCAAAACAAACCTTTGCTGCCACACGGCCATCTGCAGTATTGATTGAACAGCTTGCAGTTTGTGTTGTCAAAGGAGAGCCTGTGCTTTTGGTTGGTGAAACGGGAACTGGCAAAACCTCAACTGTTCAGTACCTTGCTCATATTACAGGTAAATAAAGTGTGACTGCTATATAACTTACATGAAGATGATTTAAAAAAAAACAAAAAACAACCAAACAAAAAAACCCACAAGTTGATGGTGCTTTCTATTTCTGTTCCAAGGACACCGTTTGAGGGTTATCAACATGAACCAACAAAGTGACACGGCAGATCTGTTAGGGGGGTGAGTCACTGATCACTGTTTTGTCTGTTCTGTGTAAGAAATTGGCAATATCAGAACAAGCTTCTAATGAAGAAGCTTCTTGCTGAAGAACAGAGGCAGTTTCACTAAATTTTGTGCACATCTGTGTGTGATGAAGTAATTTAAAAGTACAACACAATGTCTCTTTAAAAATACCTAAGCTGCTTAATATAAATACCATACAGTGTTCACTGGACATACTGGTTGGTAGTAGTAAAAGTATTGTACTTATCAAGGTGGTCCTGTCTATAAAATTGCCTCGTAAGGTGCATTTAAATAATATTCAATTTTACTTCACTCATTAGTTGAGTAAAAAAATACGGAAACCAGGGTTCCTTTGTGCACAATATTGTCATTTCAGTAACAGGTTTTGTTATTTCACAGATGCTAGTTCCTGTGTCACAAATAAGTAACTACTCTTTTGCTTCTCTTCAGTTACAAGCCTGTGGATAACAAGCTGATCTGGCTACCTCTGCGAGAGTCTTTTGAAGAGCTCTTCTCTCAAACATTTTCTAGAAAGAAAAATCAGACATTCTTGGGACACATTCAGACCTGCTACAGGCAGAAACGTTGGCATGATCTGCTAAAACTAATGCAGCATATTCATAAATCTGCTATTAGTAAGGAAGCAAAAGAAAATGCATCTGGTGAGAATTCAGACCAATCAAACACATCATTAGGGGTGAACCATTGCAGAGAGTAGATAAATCATGGTCAATTTTTATACGTTGATTTTTGGGGTTTGGGGTGTATGTTGTTGGGTGGGGGGTTTGTTTTGGTTTTTTCCCTTCATCGTTCTTTATTACTCTTTCTGATTTTGAAAAATGCAATCTCTGTCTACAAAAACATACTCAAAATACTGTTAGAATAGGGTTTTTTCTTTCTGATCCATCACTGCTGTTAGCTACGTGTGACAGAGTGAAGGTTGACTTGTCTGACCTATGGTGCCCTTGACATCTGATCTCCACTCAGCACTTGTTTGCTGTATTGGTGAACAGTCCTAGTTTTTTGTGTGGCAGTCTTCTGTATGAATGCATTCATACTTTCCTTCAGTCCTACAACCTCTTTAGTTCTCACAGATCTATCCTGTTTTAAAAGCAATTTAACCAAAACAACAGAAAACCTCCCAAACCCAAAGTAGTAGCTTTTGGGGTAGCAATGTCTTTAAACCTTGCTTAGAGCTTGCTGACAACTTTGGTTTCACTGTCAGCTATGCTGACTTGCCTAGTTCTTTACTTTGGAGACAAAACCACAGGGAAACAAATAACCATTTTTCTTTGATGCTTCACAACCCACTTGGCACAGAGACAGAATTGGTACTTTCCCTTGCATGGAGTGGTTTCCCATTCTAGACCTGCATGCTGAACAAGTGAAGTCGTAGCTTTCATTCAGTACGCGCCATGTAAACTTAATTATGAACCTTGTCTCCCCTCTTCTTTTTAACTGGCTCTTCTGAATATGCAGATATTAAAATAAATGCCCCCAAATGTCAAAAAACATGAGGTTTTAAAGATCGCTTGTTGCAAGTGTTGACAGTCCTGAAATAAAGACAAGCTGAACTCTAACTTGCAAAGCTAGCAACTTCAATTCAGTACGCGCCATGTAAACTTAATTATGAACCTTGTCTCCCCTCTTCTTTTTAACTGGCTCTTCTGAATATGCAGATATTAAAATAAATGCCCCCAAATGTCAAAAAACATGAGGTTTTAAAGATCGCTTGTTGCAAGTGTTGACAGTCCTGAAATAAAGACAAGCTGAACTCTAACTTGCAAAGCTAGCAACTTCAGTCGCGATGCTGCATGTACCTCAGGCTGTGACTTTAAACAAATAGCTGAAATAAGTGCAAGAGTAAATAATGTCATAACCGATAAGCAACACTGGAGTGTTCATTGTTAATCTGTTCTGTCATAAGGTTTGTAAATTTGGATTTATTGTTCTGAGATGTGTCTTTTTGTCTCTGGGCGTTCGGAGAATGTGAACAGTTATGCCGGAACCAAGTGCAGCATAAGTATTTGTAAGCTAGGAAATGCTGTACCCATATGTCAGTACTGTTCAGCTCAATTAAAAAAAAAAAAGGCAAAATTTAATTTTTTTTTTTAAATTCATGACATGTCATCTGTAGAACTGGAATGTTTTCATTGCTCAGCAAGGCTTACTTGAAACAGCTTGATTAAAATACTGTTGTTAAACATTTTTGCGCTATTGTTCTTATGGTACAAGCTTAAATGTGTTTTGTTTACAGGTTCGCCACTGAAGGAAAAGTGGGAGGCATTTGGTCTTAAACTAAATCATGCTCATCAACAGATGAAAATGACAGAAAACGCTCTTCTCTTTGCATTTGTTGAGGTATTTAGAGATTTGCATTTTGATGCTAGGAAGAATAAGGCAGAGCATTTAAAAGACTTTGCAATCACTGTTATATAAATAATTTCCTGGCAAGAATCTTGCTGTGAAGTAAAACTTGTTCCATGATAACACTGTGGAAGGAAGTGTGCTACTGCAAAGAGGGGGTGGGAGGATGTTTTGTGGTAACACATTCATTTGGTGCTGTATAATAGGAATTAGGACTGGTAAAAGAGTATCAGCAGTATGTCATGTCATCTTCTCAAGCGTTGGAGATTGGTCAAGATGGTTTTTGCTGTTCTCCACTAGGACATGTACCTGCCTGGGGATTACTGTGAAGGATTTAATGTTAAGAATCTCTTAATCTCAGTGATTTTTTTTTTTTTTAAAAAAAGTTTCAACCTGATGGTTTAATATTCTAATGACATTAAGTGTGATTTGGGGAAACTGTGATGGTTTATGCATGGTGATTCCTTGTCACGCTGTTAGTCTGAATATGTACTACCAAATTTTATGTAAAGTTTGTAAAGTGTTGACCAGTCCTCTATCTAAAAGTGACTGTATAAGCAGTTGGAGAACCTTTGACTTAAGTATACTTTTAATTAATAAGTTGCAGTTGCCTGAGGAACATTTTTGTGTATTGTTGTGTCTTTAGATTTCTTTGGTTTAACTGCCTTTATTCTCGTAGTGGTGTCAGTGAAATTTCTGCACCACAGTGACAGATATCACTGACAGGCAGCATTGCACAAATCAGACAGCTTAATTCTGTTACATCTCTGCCAATCTAAATGGGAGCTGATAGTGGTGGTAACTGCCTGACTTCTGTGACTTGCAAAATAATGGCTGTTACTGAGAGAGAGCAGAAAAACTGCTCTTGCTGTAAAAGGTCTGGAATTGCCATTTGTCTAATCAACCTGTAGTCTGCAAAATGAGTATTTCTGCAGCACAGATGCTTTTACTTAATGTATCACTGGTGTTGACATGATTAACAAGTTGATCTTATTTTTAGGGAACCCTGGCACAAGCAGTAAAAAAAGGAGAGTGGATTTTATTGGATGAGATTAACTTGGCCGCAGCAGAGACTTTAGAGTGCCTGAGTGGTTTATTGGAAGGATCATCTGGGTCGCTGGTGTTACTAGACAGAGGAGACACAGGTACTATTTCTGTCCTTGCTTATGCTGTATCTTGCTATCCAGTGAGTTGAATTGCCTATCCTGCATGGCCCAAAGTAAGTTGAGAACATTTACCGTTAATAACAAATGTCTGCAGGAGAGAAGAATGTGTTCTATCTAGACTTCATACTTGTATGCAAGAAGTGGGAGTTTTAATTCACTGTGGCTCAGGAGATTCTGGCATGCAGAAATTGTTGTAGCTTTTGCCTCTTTAGATTCTACAAGGAGCAGATCTCCCCAGTGGCCTTAGTAAGCATTGCTGTCTCTAAAGACTATTCAGGGAATGTCATTTGTTTTTAATAATGTTGAGACAGATTGATGGTTAAGGGCATGGGACACGAGATTTAGTTGCTGCTGTAGTAATTGTCTTTCACTGATGCTGAGAATATGTTTGTTCTCCAACTCGAAATATAGGGACAAGGCCTTGGATTTTTTTTTTCCTGAGTCGTCCTTGTGGGTTGACCCCAGTGGGCAGCTAAGCAGCTGCTCACTCACTCCTCCCACCACCTCCAGCAGGATGTAGGAGAGAACAGAAAGAAAGTGCAGAAGCAAGAAAACCCATGTGAAACAAGTGATGCAAAAGCAGTCACTAACCAGCTCCCACAAGCAGACTGAAATCCAGCCAGTCTGTAAGCAGCAGCCTCCTTGGAAGACAAAAATCACCACCCTTTTCTTCCTTTACCCTAGTTCTTATTGCTGAGCATGACGGTTATATGGTAGAGAATATCGCTGTGGCCAGTTCGGGTCAGCTGTCCCAACAGTGTCGCCTCCCAGCTTTTTGCTCACTCCCAGCTAAGTGACTGGGGAAAAAAAGCCTTGATGCTGTGACAGCACAGTTCAGCAATAGCCCAAACCACCACAGGGGCTGCTGTGACAAAAGTTAACTCCATCCCAGCTGGACCCAGTACGGATCTAGAGGTAAAAAGAAAGCAATTGCTGACTATTGTTTTCTGGAGCTTCAGGTAGAGACAAATGTTGTATGAGCTTCCTAGGCTGGGTTTTCTTCCTTGCTGAGGGAAGCCATGGCCATTGTTCTAAACAAGACAAAAGGAATTTCAAGTTTAGGGGTTATGTACTTTTTGAAGTATTTTGTGTTGTTAAAACATCATTCTGTACACAAGTCAGAGTTTCATTTGCCTGTGGCTGTTGTGAAGATGCAGAGGTACTTCTGATAAAATCATGTTGGGTTATTCCCTGAAAACTTTTCACCCTGGTGTTTTTAGATAATGTAGCAGTGCAGTGGTAGAAAACTGGCTTAGAAGAAATACACCTCGTTCAACATGATAAATGTCCTGGGTTTAACCTTCACCTTCTGTCTCTTATTTCTGTTTTGCTTTAGAGCCTCTTGTCCGTCACCCTGATTTTCGCTTGTTTGCGTGCATGAATCCAGCTACAGATGTTGGAAAGAGAAATCTTCCTCCAGGAATAAGAAACAGGTAGGAAATAACAATTCTGGGACAAAATACTTAGTTACTGTCTTTTTCAGAGTTTAACTGGCTTCACGAGTTGACCCAGTGAAGAATGCCTTATTTGAAGCCTGAGGATAAAAGTCTGTAACTTCCTGTGAGAGGTGCTTTCCACATCATGGTGAAGGTTTTTCATGAAATAGCATCAGGATAATACTTCTGTGAAGCTGCTGAGCATGGACAAACGGTCTAGCAGTAGTTTAGAGTGCTGTCATGGGGGGCAGGGGAATGATCAATCTTTACAATTAACCTGTCAGTGCCTGGGAATGCTCCTGCAGCAGTTTATGGTCCTGATGGGGATAATAAAGGGAAGTGCTTTATGTCTGTTTAGCAGCCTTTCTCCTGATAACTCAGAAGTGTTGACAATTCCTGCAAAAAGCAGTAGATCCAGCCTTTTTCACTCAGAAGAAAGGTAGTTTGCATGGTGGAGCAGATCAATGATGTTTGAAGTATTTGATATGTGATATTCAGGCTGTGGCCAGGAAGTTGGAGTTGTGGCAAATCCATTCTAACATACTACCTGTTCCTGGATGCAAAGATCTTCTTATATTTAATGCAAGTTTCCTTGATGAATGCAAAAGTTGCACATGTTGGCCCTTGTCAGAGGCATAAACACTGTGCCAGACTGTAGAGATGCACTCACTATACGTAACTAGTCGTTTGCAGTTATTAGTGACAAAGTAAGGTTTTATTGCTATTAGCTCTCCTGGCTTAGTAGTGAAAGGAAAGAAAGAGAGTGTAATGCATAAGAAAGGAGACTTAAGCTTCTTAAGTTTAAATGAACTTATATTTGCATTTGTCAAAATTATCCACCCCTCGGAAGTTAGTGATACTGCTCAGTTGTATTAAGTTTGCTGGGGAGTGTCTTGAGCTGTTATTGGCAGTTGCAATGTGGGGTGTGGGAGGGCTGCAGGCTTTTCTCCAATACCTGATGCAGACATACCAGGCTAACAAACGGTTAGAAAATACATTCGTTAACCTGAGTTGCCAGTGCAGTGTACTAAATGTGAAAACCTGTGATATCTCATCAGTGTCCACTTTTTAAAATAGAGCTCAACAGAGTCCCTTTGAAAAGTGCTTCTGCTGTGTCAGTGCTCCAGTGTTCAGGCCGTAACATCTAGGTGTTTTTTTAATTTTGATTTAAAAATATGCAGTCCCGTAGTTCATTTCAGTCTACTAAGTTAAAATAATTCAGATAAATTACTTAAAAATAAGGTTTACTAGCACTTCTTATAATTACTCTGGTTCTTGAGTCAGTATTCTGCTTAAAAATTTTTTAAATGTTACATACTGTGAGAATCATATAGAACAAGGCATCTGACCATACTAAAATAAAAATGGTAAGTGTTATGAATTGATTTATTCTTACAGGTTTACAGAACTTTATGTGGAAGAATTGAGAAATGAAGGAGACTTGCAGGTTCTTATCATGGATTATCTGAGAGGCTTGAATGTGAACAAAAATACAGTGCAAGGAATTGTGAAGTAAGTTGGTTGTAATCTCTTTAAATCCTTGATGGAATAAGTCACAAAAAAAACCCCAACATGTAACTGTAGCCTGTGGTTGGACTGTTTTAGGGAAACATTGTAATGTTCCCCACAAAGCAGCTTACGTAGCCTTAGGAAATGGGAGAGGGTAGCCACCCATCCTCTTCATTCTGAAGGTGTCTGGACTTGGTGGGAGGAGAATTACTTTTTCTTATTCAGAATTGCTTTTTTCATAGCACCAGTTATAAAGCACTGTTGTTGCAGACCTCTTTCCCATCTGAGACTGAAATGGTTCAGTTTTGTAGATCACACCAATGGAAGTTCTGTGTGTTTTTCAAGTTACCTTTCTTTCCCCTAGTTTAAGGTGTGCTATCTGACTGCGTTGACCTGAAGAGCTGTTACATGTTTTAGAATACTTGAAGTCTATAGTCATTCTCTGTATTTCAGCCTCTCTCAGAAATACAGTTCTAAAATATTCTGTTGCTTTGCTTCACTAACTATACAGATGGCAGAGTTTGGCATGGCTTTCCTGACCTGCAGCTTTTAGGGAAAAGTGACAATTGGAGATAAGCTTCAAGTGTTCATACTTGGGGTTTAATTCCTTAGAGCAATGGTTTGATCAGTAACAGCACTGTGGAACTGGTTTCACTCTTTTCTTTTTTCTTTTTTTTTTCCCCAGCTTTTATTTGTCTGTGAGAAAGGAAGCAGAGGCAAAGCTGGTGGATGGAACCGGCCACAGACCTCACTACAGTCTCCGTACGCTTTGCAGGGCATTGAGATTTGCAGCGTCTAATCCATGCAGCAGCATACCACGCTCACTCTATGAGGTGATTACCTACGTTGGGGTTTGTTTCAGTGCGTATTCACTACAAAGACTGTTTGGGTAAAGGATAATTTTCTTTTCTAAGTTCAGCATTGAACAGGAATGATTGTTTAATCTCTGTGGGGTTTTTTTCCCTAATGATTTTTCATTTTATTACTGAAAATGACTTCCCCTCTTAGGGCTTCTGTTTGAGTTTCCTGACGCAGCTTGACAGAGGCTCTCACCCAGTGGTTCAGAAGCTAATTTGCCAGCATATAGTCTCTGGCAACATCAAAAGCCTTCTGAAGCAGGTAGGTAACTAAGGCTATATAGAGCTGGTTAGTATTCACAGTTGAATTTATACTGAGTGGCCCTCTGCCTTTTTTTCTATGCTTCATTCTCACAGTCCTGTTTCTCACACTATAAATATAAGAACTAAAAAAAAAATTAGTATTGTCCCTTCATAATTTTTTACTTCAGCTTGAAATGCCCATGTTAGGTAGTTTATTTGTTAATTTGAAATAATATGGTTGTCTGAATCATTACAGCATTGTGGAGTGTGGGCAGCTTAATGCACTGACTCCAACTATAAAGCTTTCAGACTTTTGAGGAGCTTTCACAGGCTTTTTATTTTTAGACTGCGAATGCAGAACATGTGGATACAAAGTGAACATCTGTGCTTTGTCTCTAATGAGAAAGGAAGAATCTCACTGGTGCTGGGAGCCCAGCATGAGTTTACAAGGAAGAGTGGGCAGGTGGGATGGGCAAGTCAGTTTTAAGAGAGGTATTTGTTTCAGAATAAACCCCTTTGTATTAGAAAATATGTATGAATATAAAAAGATAAAAGCCAGTTTCCTGCTTGGAAGTGTACTTCAAAATTCAGTGCTTGGACCCTTGAGACGTTTTTGTCTTCGTGGCATTGGCAAAGATTCCTGCTTCGTGACCTTGAAATAATCTAGTCAGGCATGTCCTGTAATTTGCATTCTGGTGACAAGGGGAGAGCACTTACTGCAGGAGCGCTCAGGGATTAATTTAAAATTACTTCTTACAGAGTATATTGCAGTGGTGTAGTAACAGTAGTTGTCTTCATTAGCGAATTGAAACTCATTTGTATAATCTGTTATGGCTGTCATGTCTCCTTAGCAAATACCAAAACCCCAGGGAGGGCAATTCATACTCGTGGAAGGATACTGGATTTCAGCTGGGGATAAAGAACCTACCGTAGATGAGACTTACGTGCTAACCCCTTCAGTTAAGCTTAATCTGAAAGACATTGCCAGAGTTGCGTCTGCAGGGTAAGTCTATTTCAACTTTTCCATTAAAAAGCTAAGTTAAAGATGTTTGTTTGAGCCTTGAATGGTGCCTGTCTAGCTGTTCTTGTTTGCCATGAGTAATGTCCATTTTCATTCTACTTTACTGTAAACTTTTCATTATACAATGACTTGAATTTATACGTGTATTTCTTGTCTCCTGAAACTATCTTGCTGCCATACTTAGTTTTATTTAAATGATAATCTAGACATTTGCAGTCAGAATAGCCTGTGTGTTTCACACTGCCATGTAAAGTTTCATGGGTAGCAGTTAGTACTTGGGGATAAGTTACAGACATTCCCCTTCTAGTGTATGATCTTGGATACTTCAAGTGAGTTAAACAGCGATACTTTGGTAGTGTAATAATACTGATACCTCGTGTATGAGAAAGATAAAACTTGTGCTTCTAAACCATTATTTTGGTTACCCCTTACAGGACTCATCCAGTACTGATTCAAGGAGAGACTTCTGTTGGTAAAACCAGTTTAATTCGCTGGTTGGCTGCTGCTACTGGGAATCATTGTGTAAGGATCAACAATCATGAGCATACTGACATCCAGGAATATATTGGCTGTTACACGTCGGACGCCTCTGGGAAGTTGGTATTCAAGGAAGGTGAGTGGGCATATTTACTCCAAATTCCTGTCCACTGCTTTTTTCTTCTTTTCTGCTTAACTTACCTGTTTTATTGCAATGGAGAGATGACCTGTCATGAAGTTAGTAGTTGCATATTAATGACAATCACTTCTGTGAATTTCAGTGAATTCTTAAGGGTTTGTTTGTCTTATCAAAATTGTCCTGTTGGACGTAAAGAAAAGAATTCAACAACTTTAAAAAATACTGCTGCTTCTATCTTTGGATTAGTATTTAATCTGAGTAAAAACTGGTTGCTAAAAGTATCTGAATGCATGCTCCTATTACATTTAATTGGTAAGATTTTTAACTAGAACTTACTTTGTTCCCTCCAAGGCATTCTCATAGATGCAATGCGAAAGGGTTACTGGATTGTTCTAGATGAACTGAATTTGGCTCCCACGGATGTTCTGGAGGCTCTCAACCGTTTGTTAGATGATAACAGGGAGTTGTTTATTACTGAGACCCAGGAAGTTGTAAAAGCTCACCCTCGCTTCATGCTGTTTGCTACACAGAATCCCCCAGGACTCTATGGTGGCAGAAAGGTATGTATCCTCTCTTCTTTTGAGTAGCTATGGCTCTGGGGGATGAATCTCTCTCATTCATAGAAATGTGATGTGAAAACTGTTGGGTAGCACAGAATTAACATGAGATTCTCAAGAGGTAGAGATGAGGTGGCGCTGGAGTAACTTTAAGTACAGTTGGGTTCTATTTAGGTTAGCTGCTTGTTTTGCAGATACCAAACTTGTAATTCATTTTGAGTAGTTGAGATTTAAGTGTTTACTGAACCAGAGTTCATGTGTATTATATTTGACTTGGCATTTCTTGCTCAAGAGCACTGGAAGAGATTTGACTGAGGCTACTGATATCCACTTCGATGGTTTTGGCTGGAATGGTTAATTTTCTTCCTAGTGACTGGTATGGGGCTGTGTTTTGGATTTGTGACCAAATCAGTGTTGATTACACAGGGATGTCTTAGTTATTGCTGAGCAGTGCTTACGCAGAGTCACCCCATCAGCGAGTAATCTGGGGGTGCACAAGAAGCTGGGAGGGGACACAGCTGGGACAGCTGACCCCAGTTCACCAAAGGGGTATCCCAGACGATACGATGTCATGCTCAGCAATAAAACCTGGGGGAAGAAGGAGGAAGAGGGAAGTTTGGTGTTCGTTTCCCTAAATAACTTGTGCATGATGAAACCCTGATTTCCTGGAAATGGCTGAATACCCACCTGCTGATGGGAAGTAGTGAATGAATTCCTAATTTTGCCTTTTTTGCGCATGCAGCTTTTTCTTGACCTATTAAACTGCCTTTATCTCAACCCATGAATTTTCTCACTTGTGTCCCTCCAATTCTGTCCACCATTGTAGGGGGAGTGAGCGAGTGGTTGTTTGGTGCTTAACTGCCTACCACTGTTAAAACCCCACACACCTTAAAGCTCTTGTCCTCATCCAGGCTGTCTCTTATGCTTTTTTTTTCCCCAGTGCTTATATGTGCTACTTGTATGTGCTAATTTGTATGCTATGGTACTATCCATATTTCCTTTGGATGTGTAGGGGAAGAGATGTAACGTGATCAAGTATGTTCTCATATTTTAGGTGTTGTCCAGAGCCTTCAGAAATCGTTTTGTGGAACTGCATTTTGACGAACTGCCAAGTGCTGAACTGGAAACCATCCTGCATAAGAGATGCAGTTTGCCACCTTCTTATTGCAGCAAGCTCGTCAAAGTCATGCTAGACCTGCAAGTATGAGAGTCTTTCTTGTTTTTGTAGAAGGCATGCAAACATATTTCAGTACAAAGTAATAGAAATTCCTTTGCAGGGCAGAGGTGTGGCTAGCTGGTAGGTATCTGCATACCTAAAGCATAGTTGGTGGAAGAGAACCCACCCAAGTACTTAGGTCAGCAGTTAAGATAGAGACTCGAGAAGGTGATGTCATATTTTAGTGAAAGGTGGCAGCAAAAACATTAATAACCAAAGACTTTGGGATTTTATGTGTAAAACAATCCCTTCCTCTGGATCCAAGATACAGTACTAGATTTGTAGCTGTCTTTGGATCGTGCTAAATTTGGTATTATTTTTAAGCAGTAATTTTGGATGTGTTCTGATTCTCCTGTGTAGCTGAGACTATGTTGCATTGAAAAGCAATTGCAGCAGCACAAACCAGAGCACATTTCAAAGTGCTAACATCCATTTTGGTGTAGAACCTAATTTTTTTCTTGGATTTTGGTTTATTCCAGGTACCTATTTTCTTCTTAGTTATCTTTATTTATTAGGATGTATATTATTTTGTTCTTGGCACCTATCAAATACCTGCTTAAAGGTAACTTGAGTTTGGGAGTCATGAGTCTACTAGACTATTTTTCTTCATACAGTTTGTTTGAAGAAGTGTCGCATCAGAGAGCTCTGATTAGCTTTGCTCTTAAGTATGCGGACAGGTTCATGGAAAAAAACAGCTCACGTTTTGTTCTTGTGACAGTCTTACCGCAGAGGCTCGACAGTGTTTGCTGGGAAGCATGGGTTCATTACCCTGCGGGATCTGTTTCGCTGGGCTGAAAGGTACAGATTGGCCGAACAGCTGGAGAAGGAGTATGACTGGCTTCAGCACTTAGCAAATGATGGTGAGCCCTGCCACCTCAGGTTTTTACAGTGTCTGTGGAATTGCTTTCTAACCCTAGTTCTTAAGTATAAATTTTTGTTCTGGATTAACCAGATTGTAATTGCTTGTTTTCTTCCTCTGTTGTACAGGTTTTATGCTTCTGGCAGGCAGAGTCAGGAAACAGGAGGAAGTGGATGTTATTCAGAGTGTCCTTGAAAAACACTTCAAGAAAAAACTACATCCTGAGTCTCTCTTCTCAGGGGAAAGTGTCAAAAAGCTGCTGGGTGAGTTTCCTAGAAGGACCACGCTTGTAGTTCTCTAGTTGTGACCACGCCTGATGGATTGCTTTGTGTTGTGCAGCTAAATCCTCCTCGCAGATGTCGGTGATGGACAGAGATTTTAGCCATATTGTCTGGACTCAAGGGATGAGGAGACTTGCTGTTTTGGTGGGACGAGCCCTGGAGTTTGGTGAACCAGTACTGCTGGTGGGAGACACTGGGTAACCCTGCTTTTTATGATGCCGTTCTTCGTAGTGCTGCACCAGCCACTGTGTCAGGCACAAAGTGATTGTGTGGGCTTCAGCGCTTCTTTGATCTGGGACATGTGAGCCTCTGTCATGGCAGACTTGCAACTGCTGCTTTTCAGCTCTCTTTTGAGAGGAAGCGTTTGCATCTCTTTCAGAACAAGTCTGATGGGATTATCTGCATTATGTATAACTACATGGAAATGATATAGGAAGTAGTAGAATTGACATGAGCTGACTTCTGTCCCTACCTTTCACAAGGTGTCTGGTAGAATCTTACTGTGCCTCACTGGAGAGGCTGATTTTGAGGAATTGTGACATTTTTTCTGTTTGAAAGCACATTTGCTTTACATGTCCTAAGAGCTTACATATAGCCTTGTTACTATGTCTCCCTCCCTGCCACTGCCTCGTATGCTGTAAAGGAAGTCGTGGAAGTAGATGCTGTCTGCTCTTGTCCTGGTTACAAATTTGGAGAGTAAATTTTTATAGGAGGGAAGGGAGAAAAAAGGCAAGAAAACGGAGAATTAAAATTACGTAGGTAATAAATGAGAACTCTAGGTACTCAGCAGTTTATTCCCTCAAATTTAGGCTTGGTCTAGACACATGGCAGCTCCAGTTTAGTGAAAAGTTTAAGCTAGTTGAGTACCTATAGGGGCAGGCTGAAATAAATTTGACTTTGAACCTGCAGAAATTCATCAATGCAGATACCGATTTAAATTTAATTAAAGGCATCTTGTGCAAGTCAGCAACAGTTGGCGTGCCAAAAACGGCTTCGCTTCGCATACATTTCTTTCAAGGAAAGGAGCAGAAGGAAATTTGCATGCTGGGCCTTTGCCTCATAGCTCTTCAATGAAAATATGAATCCTGTCCAAAGTGAGCTGGGTTTATTTTTTATTCTTCCCTTTCAATTAAATTACTCTGTTGCAGGTGTGGTAAAACTACCATTTGTCAGATCTTTGCAGCATTAACAAATCAGAGGCTATACTCAGTGAATTGCCACTTGCATATGGAGACTTCAGACTTCCTGGGAGGGCTGCGACCAGTCAGACAGAGGTCGAAAGACCAGGTTTGTCTTGAATTGATAGAAGTTTGGATAGTGTGACCATGGAAGCAGAATGTAGCAATTATTAATGACTCTTCACTTCATTTTCCATTCCTTAGGAGGAATCTGATGGTTCTAGACTCTTCGAGTGGTGTGATGGACCTCTTGTTTTAGCAATGAAAGAGGAGGGATTTTTTCTCCTTGATGAGATTTCTTTAGCTGATGATTCTGTACTAGAGCGACTTAACAGGTATGTCTTAGCTATGTTGGTATTAAGTATTCTCGATGTGTCTGTTCATTATACAAACGTGACCAAGGTAAATCTAGCTTCTTTTAGGCAAGTTTATATCCTGGCTTGGGAGAGCTGCTCTCTTAATCATATAGTTCTTGCTGAAAGAATGCATGACCCAAATAACTCTACCTTCTTCATGTTTCACCTTCTGTGCCAGATTGCTTTGCTTTTCTAATCGTCATCCATCTGACAGGTGCTAGTTTTACTCATAGTAATTCACTGACAATTTTTGCTGTTTGAAATTCTACTTACAGCTAAGGGGGGAAGACAGTAAGGTAAGACAAGATGAAACTGCCTTGTCTTGCCTAAATTTTGATGTCTTAACTTACCTGGAAAAATAAAATGTGCTTCAGTATTAAAGCAGATATATGTTTGTTTGATGTGTGTTGGTACACTGATTATGTTTGAATGCTTTGGTTAGTGCAATTACTTTCCATTTGGCTTTATAGTACTGCTACAGACTGACCTGGAATCAAATTGTTGTATTTGTTTCATGGACAAAAATAAGATAATAGGATTTGCTTTATTCAGTAGCTCATGTCCTTGGATAAAGAAATTAAGAACATAAACCCTAGTTTAGTTGAAACAGTTTATACAATATCTAAATACAGTTTATAGCATTAGTCAAATTGGAAAATAAATTTACAGCTAGAATCGTAGAACACCAGGTTGGAAGGGACTTCAAGGATCATCTGATCCAACCTTTCTTGGCAAAAGCACGGTCTGTGCAAGACGGCCCTGCACCCTGTCCAGCTGAGCGTTAAGTGCCCAATGTTGGGGAATCCATCACTTCCCTGGGGAGATATTCAATGGATGTTTCTTCTCATCGTGAAAAATTCTCCTCATGTGTCCAATCAAAGTCTCCCCATGAGTAATTTATTTGTACCAATTACCCCTTGTCATTTCCATGTGACTTTCTGTAAAGTGGGTCTCCATTGTCTTTGTAGCCACCCTTGAAGTGCTGGAACATGGTGATAGGGTCTCCCCTAAGCCTTCTTTTCTCAGCATTGCACAGACCCAGTTCTCATCACTTCTTCTCATCTGGCAGGCTTCCCAGTCCCCTTTGACCTTCTTGGTGCCCTTTCTCTGGACTCTCTCCAGCCTGTCCACTTCTGTTTTGCGTAGCAGGGACCAAAGCTGAACACAGTATTCCAGGTGTGGCCTGACAAGTGCTGAGTAGAGTGGGATAATGACTTTTTGTCTCTGCTGGTGATGCCCTTGTCGATATACCAGCATCCTGTTGGCCTTCTTTGCCACAGCAGCACCCTGTTCACTCATACTGAGCTTATTGTCCAACCAGGACCCCTAAGTTACTTTCCACAGAGCTGCTTCACATCCAGGTAGATCCCAGCACAGGCTGGGGTTCTGTACTCCTGGATTATGTTTTCCCAGGTGTAAGATCGTACCCTTGTCCTTGTTTAACTTCATAAAATTCTTAGTAACATAAAGTTAGCCCACTCTTGCAGCCTATCCAGGTCTTCCTACAGGGTGGCTGTCCCTTCTGAAGTGTCCACATCCCTACTCAGCTTGGTATCATGGGCAAAATTCATCAGGGTACACTTGATCCCATCATCCAGGTCCCTTACGAAGATGTTAAACAGCATTGGGTCTGATACTGACCTCTGGTGGACCCCACTTGTGGCAGGTTGCCAGCTTGATAAGAAGCTGTTTACCACCACCCTCTGGGTGCAGCATGCAGCCAGTTGCCCATCCGTCGCACGAGCCGCTTCTCTAGACCATAACTTACCGGTTTCTCTAGGAGGAGGCTGTGGGAAACCGTACCCAAAAGCTTTGAAGAAATCCAGGTAGAAAATGTCCACTGCTCACCCCACGTCAACTGAGCAAGTTACTTTGTTGTAGGTGATCAGTTTTGTTAAGCACAAAGTGCCCATGGTGAATTCATTCTAGCTTTTCCCAGACACGTGGCTTCATTTGACTTGGGATAGCCTCAGGAGGATTCATTCCATGACTTTCCAGTGACTGAAGTAAGACTGATGGGCCTATAATTTGCTGGATCCTGCTTTTAAGCTCCTCTTGTAGATGTGGGTGACACTGGCCTTTTTCCAGTCTTCTGGGATGTCCCCCGATCTCCACGACTTCCCAAAAATTATGGAGAACATCAACCAGCTTTCTAAATGCTCTCAGGTGGATATTGTCTGGGCCCATCATTTTGTAAGGGTCAGGCTCCTGTAATAGTTCATGTAGCAACTCTTCCTTCACTGACAGTGGGTCTCTGTGTCAACCAAGATTTTTGTTCCCAAGGTCTGCAGGCCAACAGTGCTGATCTTGACCCAGAGACCTTCGATAGGGCTTCCACAATTCCTGTAGTTGACTTCGGTGCATTCAAGGCTCTCTTTAACAGAGCGCACAAGTTCTCCTCCTCTTCTTCCTTCCCTGTGTTTACAAAACAATCTATAACCATCCATCGTGATCCTCCAGTCATGTGAGTTGTCCAACAGTGTTTCAGTTGTTCTTAGAACTTTCACACCTCTAGTTTACCATCTGCAACATTAGTATTTTCAGCCTGTCAGTGAGCTCTTGAAAATGATGCATCTTATCAAACACCAGAAACAAAACCTAGTTATTTCCCTCTGTGTGTGTAAACATTCATAAAATAGAGATTTCATTTAATTGTCTGCTTGCAGCAGTATCCCTCATTTCAGTCATTCAGTCTAGAGCACAAGTCCTATGAGGAGCAGCTGAGGGAACTGGGATGGTTTAACCTGGAGAAGAGGAGGCTCAGGGGAGACCTTATCACTCTCTACAGCTACCTGAAAGGAGGTTGCTGAGAGGTGGGGGTTGGTCTCTTCTCCCAAGTGATAGGACAAGGGGAAACTGCCTCAAGTTGCACCATTGGAGGTTCAGATTGTATATTAGGGAAAATTCCTTCACTGAAAGGGTTGCCAGGCATTGCAACGCACTGCCCAGGGAGGTAGAGCTATTTATATTACATATATATACCTGTAGGTATTTAAAAGATGTGTAGATGTGGTGCTTAGGGACACGGTTTAGTGGTGGATCTGGCAGTGCTGGATTTAAGATTGGATTCAGTGATCTTAAAAGTCTTTTCCAACCTAAATGATTCTATGATTACCCATTACATTGAGATGATTAGCAACCATTTTTTTCACGATATCAAAACCCTCTCTGTTAGAAGCTGGGTCTTTTTTTTTTATTGTATCATTGCAGTTATTTCATAAAGTTCAGTTAACCTCTTTGTTTTGACATCGATACTAAGCAGTGTCTTCATAAACACGTAACAGCTCAAACTTTTACAGATTTTAGTGTACCCGAAAGTACAGCTGATGAAACAATCAAAACCTAAAAAAAATATGCTAGAATGTTTCTCAGATGTAGAGTCTGTCAGCTTGAAAACTGGTTCTTGTGCGGATTTCTTTACCAATCTCCTATGAATGTAAATTTTGTTATTGCTTTTGTAAAGAGAGCTGAGATACGTACTTTTAGACATGTCTTTTTGACAGATCATTTGAACTGAACCTTATCAACAAGATCTGAGTGGAGTTTCCTCCTGAAGATAATCAAATGTTTTCAATTAGGGAGGATGAACAAGGTTTTTTAATACAAATTCTAGGGCAATGAAATTTTAATCAGACCAATTCATGTGATTTTCATTTTTAAGTGACTTTTTGAAGTGTGAAATGAAATGTAAATTACATTCTTTTTTTAACCATCTTTTTAGTGTTCTTGAAGCTGAAAAGACGTTGGTACTTGCAGAAAAAGGTGGACAAGATGATGAGGATAATGAGGTAGAAATGTTAGTTGCTGGAAAGAAATTTCGTATCCTTGCAACCATGAACCCAGGAGGTGACTTTGGGAAAAAGGAGGTAAATGTCAAAGCAGCTGGAAGTACAACATGTGTATCCTGGTCTTATCAGCTCTTACATGATTGGAGGTCCAGTGCAAAAATGCATCACATCAGTTCTGGCATCCAGGGCTTCTTAGTATGCATCTGCCTCATCGCTCTAAAGGAGGATTAGGATGCATCCGTTTTTCCATAATTTCTGTGTTATGCTTTTGACAATATAAGCCAATATTCTGCAGAGTGTCAAAGAAAACTTCAGGCCTCTAAGTTCTCTAGGTAGGCTTGATATGTAGAATACTTCAAGTGCAGCTCCTGAAGCGTGTAAATCCAGCTCTAACAGGAGTCTGGAGTAATGTGAAGTTGCAGAACAGATTATTGTCCCCAGAAGTGTTTGGAAAGTGACAGTTAGAGGTCATTTTATCATTCTCGGTGAATAGGAATATCACATCCCAAAGGACCCTTCTCATTGAATTAAAAAGATGTTTCTGAAGTTGGGATTTAGGTAACTTAAAGGTTTTTTTTTTAAAAAAAAAAAAAAACACACAAACCAAAACAAAACACCAAACCCACACACCCACAAAAACTTTTAAGCAGTGTTGAGAGTTAGGTCTAAAAAAAAGCTATAAGCTCTTTTACCCCAGAGAAGTTGGGTGCTCCACTTAAAGTGGTTTCTACACTACAGAACAGCTCACAGTAAAGCCATGTGTTCAAAGGGGATTCATTTCTGCATTGCATTTGTGCTGATGATTTCTGCTTGACTAATTCAGCCAGAAGAAGAGAGGAATTACAGAAAGGAGCTGTAGTTGAAGACAGTTTTCCACGTGGTAGTTTGCTTCTGTAAGCAGAGGGAGATTACATACCCATTGTTTGGTACGCGGTGTCTTGGAATGAAATGGAGCTTTGGTGCTTGCAAACCAGCTCAGTTTCTTCCCATATTCTTTTGAACTTTCTCATTTATTAGCCATTTCCTGCATTGATACCACTACTGGAAATCTTAAAATGCACATACTATCAAAATATTTTGTTAGAAGCTGGCCCTGTCAAAATTAGAAGGAAAGGTCTAGCTTGGTCACTTTATTGTTTGCAAGTACAATGGCTACAAGGCTATGGGTTAATTGCAACTGTAGGTAATATGATGTAACGTAAATTGAATTGCTGCGTTGTTCTGCTTGTTTGCAGCTTTCTCCCGCGTTGCGCAACAGATTTACAGAAATATGGTGCCCGCAAAGCAATGGGCGTGATGATTTGATACAGATTGTGAAACACAATCTTCACCCAGGGTTGTCTCTGGGTGGAATAAACCATCAAGGTGGGTGTTTCTCTGTGTTGGTATTTAAACATTGTTAAGGAAAAAAGTGAGTTTGGAGGCTGCTAAACTTGGCTCAGAATTTGCACCACTGTGCCCCTTTTTCTTGTAAGTACTTGTGTCGCTGAGGAGAGTTATGAGTTATTTTGGGCTTTGTTCTTCCCCCATTGTGTATGTTATATGTCTAGCCAGATCAAGGCTGTATTTACTTCACCACCCAGGTAGTTGAATTATCCCCAGCCCTTCAGTGCCCAATCTTGGCTTCAGTGTGAGGTGTTGAAAGACCTGGCACTTCATTTTCAGCCAGCGGCTCTGCTGTTGGTATTAATCACTTGATTCTGTCTTGCCACTTGACCGTATAAAAGAATTATATCTGTTATGACAGCACAGGCATGAATTTACTCCTCAGTTATCCTTCCTGTTAGGATGTAGAGTACCCGTCACATGACTTGTGCATTACAGCTGTACCTGTTTTAATCATGCTCATTATACAGCAGTGTCATAGATGTCACCAATAAAATAATTTGATAACTCCGCTGATTTTGTTGCTCTTTTTCAGGGGCAGACGTAGCAGAGCTCATGATGGACTTCGTGGAATGGCTGACGAATCAAGAGTTTGGTCGCCAGTGCATTCTCAGTGTGCGAGATATCTTGTCATGGGTTAATTTTATGAACGTTATGGTAGAGGATGAAGAGTCAAACTCTGCCAGGGATTATAGCCTCTTCTACATTTCTCCAATGATGTCTTTTATCCATGCTGCCTGTTTGGTATACATTGATGGAATAGGATCAGGTAAGTCTTACTTGGTAGCAGAAAACATGAAGGTATATATTTGTATTAATATTTTTCAGTAGAATGCAAGCAAAATGCTTTGGATTGTGGTGGAACTCTTCTGGGAGAAGTTTTCACTTCAATTTAAAAATACCCCGTATTTCGTATTTTTTGTGTTTCAGTAGCAAGAGTTTAGATAATACAGCAAGCCTAAGTAAATTAGAGGCAGTAATAATAATATTATAAAGGCTAATATTATAAAAAAAGCCTGTGGTTTTTATGGAGTCTTCTGAGCTGTTACGGTACTTAATTACATGACCATGTACTATCCTGTCTCTCCCATCCCACAGTTCATGCTAGCCTGTATCATGTGCATAGCTTAGAATGCATCCTTGGCCACTGGCCCAGCTGATAAGTAGGAGGTATGGAAGTGAGGAAAAAGTTAAAAGCCACAAGAAATGCAGGGAAAGAAGGCCTGGGCAGACTGTGGCAAAAGATCAGGATGATAGTGATGGGATAAGAAAGGGGTTTGGAAATAAGGTGTCCTTCATTCTGTTGCTTACAGAACAATTTGTCCATGGTAAATGGAAACACTGGCAAGCAAAAACGCTAAGATGCTTTATTAAATGTAAACTTGAAGCAGAATGCTGCCCAAAAATGGCATCTGTGAAGGAATTGAGTTTCTTGGTCGTAAGATGGACGTGCCTGGTTAATGTTTGTGATGCAGACTTAACTTTTCTAATTACAGGTACAACATCCTACTCAGCTGAGACGGCTTTATTAGCTCGTGAAAAATGCCTGACATTCTTATGTGAGAAAATGAGTCAATTCCCTGAGCTGACCGATTATCAGAAGGATGAACTAAAGATTTATGACAGAACAAAGGAGAGAGAGTTTGTGTGGATGGACAACTTTATGGGGATCCACCCCTTTTTTATTCCAAGAGGCAAGAAACTTTGTGGGAGAGGGTGGATGTTTGTATTGTGGTTTTTATTCCCAACACTTCCATTATTCACTAAACCAAAGTAGGATACATTGTACATTACAGAACAATTTATAGTTTGTTCTCAAGCCTCAAAAATGCCTTTTCTGTCTCCAGCTGCATTGATGACAACTGGATCACATTTATTGAGACAACATGCCTGCTAATTGCTTTCTTTGACTTCTTAAAATTACTGATTAATGGCCTAAATTGAGTAAATTGAGTAGACTTTTTTTTTTTTTGGTGCTGATTTAGTTTTGAGTTGTAATTTTCTCTCAACTTTGCATGGTCAGAATGTCTGCTGATTTCCAGTGACTGACGTTAGAGCTCATCCTGTCCCTTGTGTAAAATGCCTGCTAATTGCTTTCTTTGACTTCTTAAAATTACTGGTTAATGGCCTAAATTGAGTAGACTTTTTTTTTTTGGTGCTGATTTAGTTTTGAGTTGTAATTTTTTCTCAACTTTGCATGGTCAGAATGTCTGCTGATTTCCAGTGACTGAAGTTACAGCTCATCCTGTCCCTTGTGTAAAGCATGGGAAGCGAGGGCTCAGGATACAGCGCTCAACAGAACAGAGACTAGTGCCCTGCCTAGCTGTAGCCTCTCAGAGGTTCGCTGCAGTTTTTGCAGAACTATTTAGTCCCTGCACTTCAGTTTCATTTGTGTTAATTTGTCACATGTGGAAGTATCAAAATACTGCTTTCTGCCCTTAGAATACAGTAATGGGAATAAAAAGGGATGAGTATGGGATTTCTAGTTCAGCTGGTTCGTTTTTAGTACATGGAACTGCGTGTTCCCGATGCTGTATTAATCATTCATCTTTGAACATTTTGGTATTCAGGGTTTGTGTTAGTCATGCATAAAATTGTACAAGGTAATGCTTTTTTGCAAATTGCTTCGTTTCCTTCTTCTAATGAGATGACAAAAGGAAGGATCTCTTTCATGCTAAGCAGGTGTCGAGATGCGCAAGATAAATTGGCGATTAACGTCTTGCATACCTGAGCGATGCTGTATTACAGAAGTTGGGGAGTGATGTTGCAGGGAGCTAAACTGACTGGATTTCGGCAGATGAGCTCTGTACTCTCTCCCTGGTCTACCTCATAAGAACAGCAAAGACGATACATGCCTAGCAGCGCTTTAATTACAGCGCTTTTCCCTCGCAGAACTGGCAGTGTATGGAGTAGGTTAATATGTTGTTCTGTATCATGACTGGACTGTATCCTTCAGTGCGCAGTTTTCAGAAGGTGTTTTTTTGCATTTTACATCCACATGTCTGAAGGGCAAGGACAGATTTATCATTTTTCAGGGATAGATCTCTAGGATGGGTCATGAGCCAGGAAGTGTCGACGTTTCGTGGCAAAATACATTGTGTGTTAATATATGCATTTTGCAAAATTCACCATAAATACAAGGAGATGGGCTGAGTCACAGCTGTGGCTCAAATAAAAAAAATGTATCTGCCTAATCTCTGATAGTACAGCTTGATCTGTAACGAGATCAGCAATTAACAGACAATGATCTTCTGCAGAAGCACACTGTCAGCAGCTCCAGCGTAAACATTCTGGCTTAATTGTTTTCTGGTTTACCTTTTCCTTGGTTTAGGCCCCGTTCTCCAGAGGAACAGCATTACAGATTATGCTCTAAATGCCGGGACCACAGCAGTGAATGCACAAAGACTGTTAAGAGCCCTGCAGCTTAACAAACCTATTTTGTTGGAGGGGTCACCAGGAGTGGGCAAGACCAGTCTAGTTGCTGCCCTGGCAAAAGCCTCAGGAAACTGTCTTGTTCGAATTAACCTGTCTGAGCAAACGGTAGAGTATTATCTTTGTAACTTAGTGTTTATGGCGGGG